CTATACATAATATATATAGTAAGACATATTATGTGTCGCTCCGCATGTATTCCATGTCGTAGTTTCCGTAGTATTAGGCTTCATCAAGCTTTTATTGCAACCTTTTTTCCCATATCGATTGTTGCTGCTAGGCGTCGGGTGTTTCTTCAATCTTCATTGGTTGCGACAGGTTTGGATTTATCCATTTTACAGAATGTTCTGCAGAGCTGCTCTTCATTTAATGAAGGACTGTCGTCAGCAAAGCTGTCTTCTTCTACATTCGATTCTGCCATAACCACTACAGATGATCACAACCAGAAACCTTCAGACTCTGCTACACACAGTGCAACTGTCGGGCCGCAGATAGTGCGTGGGCGCGTTGAGCGCAGCCGTGGTCACGGCAAGTTGGTCTTCCTGCATCTTCGGCAGCCCCCTTGGAACTCGATCCAGGTCGTTTGCTACGGGAAGAATCTGGCCAAGCAAGCAAGTGCCATCTCCCCTGAGAGTATTGTTGAGATTGAGGGTGTCGTTCGGCCTGCCAAGCCGCCTGTGGTCTCCACGACGTGTGCGCACTGGGAGCTGCACGCCTCCGCGATACGCGTCCTAAGCGCTGCGGCGACTCCCCTGCCCTTTCCCCTACACGACGCGGGTGCCAAACTCGAGACGCGGCTCAACCACCGTGCGGTCGACCTTCGAACCCCTCTCACGTCCGCCGTAACGCGGATCGCCTCTTGCGTCTCTCAGAGCTTTCGGCGACGGCTCCTCGAGCGAGGCTTCATTGAGATTCACACCCCTAAGCTCGTCGGAGCGACCTCCGAAGGTGGCAGCGCCGCGTTCGAGGTAGGCTACTTCCACCAGAAGGCCTATCTCGCGCAGTCGCCGCAGCTGTACAAGCAGATGGCATTGATGGGGGATGCGATGCGGGTGTTCGAGATCGGACCCGTGTTCCGCGCGGAGAAGAGCCTCACGCACCGCCACTTGACCGAGTTCGTGGGTCTTGACGCGGAGATGGTCATCCAGGCCTCCTATCTCGAGGTCCTGGATGTCTTGGACTACGTGTTGTGTGGGATCTTGGCGGATTTAGATGCCGAGCACATCAGAGGCCTAGTCTTGATGGTGCGGAGGGCGCTCTCGGAGCAGAGGCAGCGGGCTTCCGGATCGGGTGACGCACCGGCCTCTCTATCTTCGACCCCCCCTGAAGGAAGTGGTGCGATTGTGTGTGAGGTGCCGGCATTGGTGATGGAGCAATACGGCATCGTCGTCGATCATGTGCCTGGCCCTGCTGGGGAGGGCGTCACTCCCCTGGTTGCCGATTCGGATGAGGTTATCAAGGATGTGTATGGGGCGCGTGTGGGTGCGGGAGGCCTGCGCGTCCTACGGCTTTCTTTTGACCACGCGGTGCAACTCCTGCGCGATCACGCGGCGGTGCCTACCGACGCCGTGTTAGAGGACTTTGACTTACCTCAAGAGCGGTGCCTGGGGCGGCTGGTCAAGGAGCGCTATGGGGTCGATGTCTATGTGGTGGATCAATTTCCCACCGTATCGCGGCCATTCTACACGATGCCGCTTTCTGACAAGAAGCCTCAACGTACCCGTAGCTTTGATGTGTATCTGCGCGGGGAGGAGATATGCAGTGGATCGCAGCGGTATGATAGCGCAGAGCGTCTTGAGGAGCGGCTGAGCGTGCTTGGTATGGATCCGATGCCGTTGCAGGATTATATTGACTCCTTCCGCTACGGTGCATGGCCGCACGGTGGATTTGGCTTCGGTTTGGAGCGCATCGTCTCCTTCTTCTTGGGAATGAATGACGTTCGCCAAGTCTCTATGTTTCCACGTGACCCTAAGCGACTCTCACCCTAGGCATTTTTATGAGAGGGATGGCGACGTGTTGTTTGTTCTCTGTTCCATCGAGCTACTTTTTATTTTTTTGGTTGTTGTGGTTGTATAATTTCTTTTTTTTTCAAGGGTACAATCTGTGGTGGTATGCAGCTATCTTTTTCTCCTTTCCTGGTGCTCTTTGCGGATTTTTTTCCAGTTTTATCGCTCAAACAACATATTTTTGCCGCGTAGCACTCAAAGCAAAGGGGGTTCAAACGGTAAAGGCTTGATTTTTCCTATGTGTTCACAATTGGTGAAGGGGCGTCTTGCAGCGCTTTGTAAGCGCTACTACGATATCGAAAGTCGTATCAATATACTGCAAGAGGGACTCAAGGTTCTCGCCTCACCTGTGAGGTCGGAGGGAGTAGCAGGAGCGGTAGGCACTCCTCATGCCTCAGAGGGCGTACCAGAGGTCAAATGTGCTGCGGGGCACGTCGACCCTTCGACGATTGCTGCCCTGCAACCCTGTGAGGAGGACGTTCCCAGGGTGGCAGAGCTCCGCCGCTGGTGCCTCGACAATAAATTATACTCAGCCATCTTCAAATGGGTTCCTTCGGATTACTATAGCCATACCTTGACGTGGCGACGTGACGTGCTGAATGCCCCGACCATTGCTTATCTGTGTAAGACCATCGTTTTGACGAACACACACTGTGTGCATACGGACTGTTCTATTCGTGAGAATTCTAGACATTATCTGCTCGTGTGCCAGTACGTGGAGCGCTTTGATACGGATCTTGTCATGCGATATATCAGAGATCTCAACCCCACTCTTGGGAAGAAGAAATTCAACTTCAAGCTTGCTAATCCAGAGGAATCGTTGGAGCTAACGGGATATCCCTCTGGGGCTGTGGTTCCCTTTGGTACACGACACAAAATTCCCGTCATACTGAGCGCCAGCATCGCAAAGCTCGAGCCGAGGTTTTTTTGGATCGGTGGCGGTCATGTCCATTGCAAGGCCCGTGTTGACCTTGACGAATTTTTGAAGGTGATGAACCCCATAATCGCACCCGTCACGGAGCCGTTGAGCCCGGAAGAGCTGTTGAACATAATAGATTGAGTACGACTAGTCGTTTTATTCTTTGGATTTATCGGTTATCTCTATGAAATATAATGAGGCTGATGGAGATGCTAAAAGAAGCAGGAGAGAAATGATGGGGGAGGGGTAGGATGAATTCTTGCATTATAAGGCATCTTTTGTGCTTCGAAAATGTGTCCCAATTCCTGTATCGCATGGTACTTTAAACCCTTATTCGCGTGGGTACAAAAAAATGGAGTGACTTGTTCTTTCTTGCGTAACAAAAATGAAACAAAACGTACTCTATAATGGGTTGGCAATCAGGAGCGTTATCATAATGTTTTTGGTGCTTGTTCACCACCTAGAAAATAAATCCTTTAACATTTCACCCTTTTATTTCTGCAAAAGGGGGGGGGTTCATTTACTTGAAGTGAGTATTTTCAGCAGTGGCTTCGTTGGGTCGGCAACGCTTTTTCACTTCCCCTTTCTGTTTTTAGTTCTTTCATCCGGAAGAAGACTTTCGGGTTTTCTGTCTTGAAACAGATCATAACGGGAAAGGGGGAGGGGTAGAGAAGGAAGTCAATGTGTATGTGAGTGTGTGCACCACCCATGCGACTTTTAGCTTCATTCCATAGGAAAAGCCTGGCGTATTACGGGACCCTCCATCACTTCATGAGGTCCTTTCAAAGTTCTGCCGGAGGGGCCACCACTGGCGGGGGTGAATCGCTTTTTCGCGCCCCTGACCTGCCGTCGGCGCCGCCCTTCTCGGCGGCATGTCTGGTGGATATCAGCAGCACGGCCACCATCACACTGTCGTTCTACCTCACCGTGGTCGAGCCCACCTTGCGTCGTCGGCTAAGGCGTCGCAGGGGCCGTTTCATCGCGCGAAAGGCCCCATCGGTGTTCGTCCGCGGCGTCCTATTCAGCCCGGTGGAGCCGAAGCTGCAGCACGCGGAGTGGGCCCCGACCTGGGGGGACTATTTGGCCACCCGTCGGCGATGCGGCCTCACAGCGACGGGGGCCTCCCTGGCCTCCGCGCGGGCGGTGTGGGGGGAGGCGCGTCCGCTGCTCGGAGGGAAGCTCAAACCGCCCATTCGTCTGCGGCTCGCGGACTCATCTCCCCACCCCTCTCACCCTTTGTCGTGTGAAGAAGGAGGCCCGTCTGATGTGTATGCGGAGTGCTTTCGCGTGGATAGCTTCATCCCGATGAAACTGCAGGTTCAACAGGCGGTGCGGCATTTGCTACGGTACCGCCGACCCAAAGGGAACACGGCGGACGGGGGTGAGGTTCCTAACTCGGTCGTGCTGCGAGGGTCCGGCTCCTCGACGACTGTGGAACCACTAAACCTCATTCACCTCATCGCCGTGGTATGCCCGGATCATTTCTCTGACGACTACGTCGACTTCTTTATGAAACTACACCAGGTGACGCGACGTGGTGGAGGGGAGAACATCGATATTTGGGGACTCGGCTCGACTCCGGCAGCGAATCAATCCGATTGCCCCTTCGAAGGGCATCGGGCGACGATGTCAGAGGAAGTGGAGAGGGGCGAAGAAGTGGAGTGCCTCGTATTTAACAGTCGAGAACTGGTAGGGTGCGTCTACGTCTGATTGTTTAGCGAGTGCATGCGGGTGAGGCGGCAAAAAACAACAGCACCTGCAACCAGCTTCGCTGTTGTTAGTTCTTCCATGCGTTATGGTTGAAATCTGTAAATCACCTTTTTTTACTTCCTTTTGTCGTTTTTCCATCCTTGGACTGCGTGACATCTGCAAGCTCATTCCCTCATATTGACGTAAATAATTATCAGAACGAAGGAGGTAGCTAAATTCCATCCACTGGGGCATTTTAGTTCATTTATCCTTTTTCTTCCCTTTTAGACTAATAAGGGTGTGGGCTACATTCTGCATCTTTTTCTTAAGGAAGAGGACAAATTAAGCAAAAGAAAGCTGTAGCCTCACCTACATTTATAGAACGACAAGACTGCCGTTACTATTGGTTCTTGGTAAAATGTCCTCGACTTTGAACATTATAGTCGATGCGTCTCTATCATCTTCCTTTGACATCTTAACGAGCCTCAGCACTTCTGCGCAACGACAGCGCGGTAAACAGGTTGAGGTATGTGCACGGAGGAGCAGTGACTGCCCTGTGGCACAAGCCATCTTGGTGTGGGATTCGAATGGGTCTGTCGAGGAGTCGATGTACCCCAGTCGATCTGGTACCCACCGCGAGCGGGTTCCATACCAAGGGAGCGCTTCTGAGAAGCACCTGGAGGGTGTGAGTGCGATAAGCCGCGAGGCTGCCCGCGTAGACGTGGTTTTACTATTGGAAACGAAGCAGGCAGTTCTCTTTTTGCAGAAAGCTGCTCGATCCGTTAACGCGTGGGAGAGGTACCTCGAGGCTATCTGTGAGTCCATAGCGGCGTATATATGGGGGCAAGAGTTCCCTGACGAGACTTCATTCCATAGTAGCACCTGCCATGATGCCACCATTAGTGATGCCTACGCAGGTTCTCTTAACGAGCACGTAGGCATTTCTTCTCCAGATTCTTTCGTGGGGAACGCACAGTCTGAGGATGAGCGGCAATTGCGGTTGCACCTCGTTGTCGTACCACGGGGCGTTGCTTCGGGTGACGTGAACTCCCTTTCTTTCCCTGCTTCTGCACTTCCTGGTCACCATGGTACGCCTTATGCAAACACAACCAATGGGGTTTCTGGAGGTGGCGGCTGCGATATTTCCAACAAGGATGCAGCTGAGTTGTTCTCTTCAGCCGTGATATGGTCTGCCAAGTCCAGACATATTCGGGTTTTGGGTGCATACACAGAGACACTGGGAGTTACACTAGTTGAGGGAAAGCCCTCTGATGCGAACGATAAGCACGTATCTTTTTCGGTTGGGCTTGCGATTGGGAACTGCACAACCGTAGCTACGCCTGATCAGGCGACTCACATCGTCCTTGCTCTCGCCCACACGCGTCTGAAGTCTTTATCGGCGGTCGCCGCAGCTCAGCCAGTGAAGGGGCCGAAGGGGTTGCACGATGGCTCCGATCGGGGTGATTCGCCCCCCCCGCAACTCGGCAAATCTCTGGGCACTTTGTCGACGCGGCAAATTCGCCCGGATGCGCGGTATAAGTGCGAGCCGCACGACTTCCAGAAGCTGTACGCCAGCATGCTTGCTGAGGTTGGTTCCTACTCTGATCGCAAGACAATTGCCTTGATGGCAGCTTTCCCTACAATGCATCATCTTTTATCGCATCTACATAACTTTGTTCTGGCTAAGCAGCATCAGCAATGCATATCGAATGCTTTCGACCCCGAGGCAACAGTTATGACAGGTTTTGACGATGACACAACCACAATGCTGGGGGGAGACCCACTGGAGGCATCAGCTGCTTCCTTTGGGAGCGAGCTAAGAGGGCTTGATGACTCCTTGAAAAGCGCCTCCAACGGGTGTCATGATGTTGAAGCTGTGCTCTCGCCTGTCTACAGCACAAACTACGGGGAATCCAGGAGTTGGAACGTCTTAGACAACGCAATCGTTGATGCTTTAATAACCGACTATCGTCAAAAGAAGGAGTGTTAAGGCTATAATGAAGAACCGATGCTATGAACAGGGCTGATGGTTTGTT